TCTGCTGATCTGTATACTCTGGTGTCTTTAACTGAATTTCTGAAGCGTTTATTAATAAGTGTATGATCTATTTGGTTCTTGGTTCTTCTGTCTGGAGATGTCCATGTCGCCTTATGTATATCTTTATGAGGGAATAAAGTACCTGTAATAACAAGTTCATTCATATCACAAATATCGCATAACCTTTTCCCGTTATCATTTCTCTGTCCCATTCCATGTGTTCCAATCACTCTTTCATAGCCTTCTCTGTCGTATCCTACTTTGGCGTTCATGTCTCCTGTAATTATCGTCATATCATGTTTATTTCTGCTATCCAACACGTCTTGTAGTTTCATGTAGAAATCATCTTTTGTCCGCTCATCCGTGTCTTCAGTAGGTGCGTATAAGTGAATAAGTGTCAGCTTTGTGTGTTGTGAGTAAAATCTAGCTTTTAAGATTCTTTCGGTGATTGGTGTCCAGTCGATTAATGACTCAGTCGCTCTTTTTGACATTAGTATGCCTACTCCTTCCCTATGGTTGTCGTTTTGTGACAGAATCTTACTGAATAAAAGGCCTGGGGTTCTTTGCATTCATCTCTGGAGTTTATTCAAGGTCTACAGGGTATTTTCCTGTTGCTATGATTGATAAGTTGATATCAAAGGACAGTGCTAATTTCTCATTAACATTTCACTAAATAATTAATATATAAGAACGAAGTGTGCACGAATGATCGTCGGAATAATTTGCATACGGAAAATTTATATTACAATAAACTCCCCTGGGGTTTCACGTACGCGACAATATTACCCATGATGGGCTCCGTGATACACTTTTCAATTTCATATTCTTTTAATTTTTTTTCAAAATCATCCTACAATCTCCGAGTTGTGTTTCCATTGGCAGCTTGATTACAAAATTTGTTGTCTATCATGATTGCAATTTAAACAAGGATTGTATAGATATATTGGAGCCGCCCGGTGTTCTTGAATGTTATTTTAGCGCAGGCCCGAAGGGACAGTTCACATCCCCTGTAGCAAGTCCTGTAGCGATGGAAAAGKGGCGATTGGAAAGATTCAGAAACCTTGAAAGGAGTCCTCTGMAAACAAGGTGTTGGAAACTGTAACGACAACGGGCGCGTGCTCTTGGAGTTTTGAGCAGAGCAGGAACTTACCATGACCATCTTCCAGCAAAAGAACAGTCTGAAAACAACCTGGATTCACCCTCAGTCAAAACATTGGCGCCTCATTAACTATGTTCTASTGCGCCAGCGGGACCTAAAAAACGTCTGCACACTCGAGTGATGCCTAGTGCAGAGTGTCACACAGACCACCGCCTTGTTCGCTGCAAAAGTCTCTACCTCAATCCCCAAGCAAAGAGAAAAAGCAGTCCCCTAAGAAAACTCAAAGATCAGCAGCTTACAGTTAGCTGAAGTGAAAGCTGACTTCCAAGCAAACCTACAGTCTAGGCTTGAGGATCCAAATAACCCTAMTGATCTTTCTCCAGAAGAGTTTTGGGAGCACCTGAAATCCTCCATCCACCATTCTTTCGAAGAAGTCCTGGGGTTTTCTACGAGAAAGAACAGGGACTGGTTCGACGAGAACAACCACGTGAGGCAGGAATTGCTAGCAAAGAAGAAATCCTTTCACCAGACCCACCTAGCTCAACAGTCTTGTCCTGTGAAGAAAGCTGCATTCCGCCAGTCATTCAGCAACCAATAATGATTTATCAAATCTGAGACCTATATATGCTATGGTCATGTGCATTTATATCTGGTCATCCTTAGTATTCTTTATAATAACAATACTAATAAGTACGTTTCATCAGATATAGAGGTCCATGTATGTGACAAAATAGGCTCATTCTATTGGACTAATAACTGGTCTAACTTGCATGAGCTTTTGAATAGGAGTTTAGCACAGAATAGTTCTAAAGAAAGGGGGTTGCTGCTTATACTCACGAGCGCGCAGAAAATGAAGACGTTAAACCTACGTTAATCCAGGTTCGGATCCATTTAGACTCCAGTATGCGAGGACATTAAAACCTGCGAATCAAATAAGACAGACAATTTGCCGAAATTGAWTATGATATCGTGCAAATCGCTTATTGATCTTAATTAATACTTATCAATACTAAACAATTCTAAAAAAATGATTTAKACAAATAGAAAAAAAACCTTGTTGGAGTTCTTACCATCGATTATATTTCCACGACCGCAAGCCAAGAAGCTCATCAAAACATGCAGCTGTAGGGGCATATCAGAATAGATTAGTTARATCCCTTTTGAACTTGTTCAAGTTAATGAGGGTCCGTGGGCGTTTCGTTCATCGAAATTGTATTGGTTTTGAAAAAAATTAAATTCAAATTTCGAATGATATTTCAATCTGTATTTTCAATGTCTTGAAAAAAAAAATCAAAAATGTCCGTATATTGAAATTTTGAATTATTACTGACTATATTCCAAATCAAAACTGTTACTTCTTATTGATGTTTAAATCCAAAATAGCACGCACAGATTGTGTATTTTTAGACATTTTTTCTTTTCCATTAACACACGAAAACTAAACATTGTAAAAACGAAAATTTACAAAACCTTTCCTTGTAGGGGAGGGGAGGAAAGCAAGACGTTTGTTATGTGCCTGCGTGTCAACAGTCCCCTAAAAAACCGCCATTTTGATGATTTTGGATGAAATGTCGGAAATGCTGCCGTATTTTACGGTTTGC